GGGGCGGGGCGGGGCGGGGCGGGGTGGCTGGGGTGTGGAGTGGGGGAATCGTGTGCGCAGCAACCAGCATTGTATAGACCAGCACATGCCATCCTAAGCCACATATGATCTATGACATCTATGAAAGCATCGTCGTCTGTGCGGTCGTTCGCCTCAGAGCCAATCGTATTGAAAAGTGTATCTGGAACCCTATTGAAAAGTCTATCTGGAACCCTATTGAAAAGTGTATCGTTGATTTTTTATCGGTATCGTTGATTCCTATCGACAACCCTATCCGAATCCTATCGGCTCAAAAAGTCTATCGTTGATTCCTATCGGCAACTCTATCCGAAACCCTAACAGGAAATTATTTTGGGCCCTCCTTTGCTGTAGCATGTTCGCACTTCATAAGCCTGGGGTGCAGGTGGCTGAAGGATTCCAAGCGACAAGGCTTCCGAATCAATGATATCCGGTTCTGTGTACATGGAGCCCCGCATCCAGTGTGGGCTGCAAAACTCTAGCAATCCCACGCATGTTCCGGGCAAGACTCTCTTTCAGGAGAGGGTCCGCTTCGCAACAGGTGCGTCTGCACCCGTGAGCCATGTGCTTGATTCGATTGTCCACTGTTTGGGTCTGCTCAACTTCCATCCGAGGCTGAAGCACATTCCGGAAAGTATCTTGTACTGAGACAGTGGATGGGCGGCACGCACTTCCAGAAAAGAGCTAATTGGGCTTTAAGGTTCAGTCAGCTAGCCTCCAAAGAATCTAGCTTTGTTGCCTGCAAGCTCTCAAACCTAATGCCAAGGGCCCGACGCATCGCGGATCTGCGCCTTGACCGCTGCCTGGCTGTCTTGGGTTTCTTAATTTGAAGATACCTTATGTAGGGGTCCTTATTATCATATTCAGGATCCTACAAGTCGTATCTAGGGTGTCTGAAACTCCCGGATTGCGGGAATACCACAAGCACCAGGCTCGTAGCGGGCTGATTGTGTTTGGGCAGTCCAGGAGATTCCCAAAAAGCGTGCACGCATCTTTTCTTGCAAGGAGTTGTTCGGCTGCGGTGCCGAACTGATGCCGAACTTCCCCAAACCTGAACGCATCTCCTTGGAATCACAAGTTGTCAGTTTGCTGGACACATCACAAGAAACTGCTCCTGAGCTCAGGCGAGCATCCTCATTGAACAACGACCACTCGTTGAAGGTCACTCCTTGTCCCATGGCCTCCAAAATGGATGACTCCAACATTCTCCAACCGCGGACAGCATGCCACGATGCACTGCAACGAGTAACCTAGTGGCTTAGTGGCCTGTGTGCGGATGCGCTCCGAGGCTGCATGGAGCTTCCAGAGTTCAGCCGGCACTGCTTCACGTTGCGTGAGCGTGAGGAAGCCGCGCGGCCGGTAAAGTGTGGTGACAGACATCCAGTCCTCTGCTGGCATCGCCTAGGTGGAGAGCCAATCCCCCAAATTTGAGGCGTGATATCTTAGGCCTTGATGCCAGGGCCTCCCGAATTGGCACTTTAGCGCAAAAAGATGCCCCTAAGGCGTCCATGATGCGAACTCCTGAAGCTCGACGATCTCGGTGGCGCTGTCGCCACGTTTTGCGGCCTCTGCTAGCAGGTAGAGGAAGATCGGCGCACCCGGCTTCAGCACGTTGTCCTGGAGATACTGGCAATGGGCGTAAACTTCCGCTGCTTTGCACAAGATTGGGCACACCGTCCGCCACAACCACAGCACCGTCGCAAAGCAGATCCCTGTCTGCCAGCAGCTTCAAGTCCTCGGCGAGGGCTGCTGCTCTTCAACGTGATCTGGGTTCACCGAAATGCCCGAGACTCAATTTCCAAATACCCGCTCTAAAACATAAGGTCCGGATAGTTGAATAAGGATTGCTTCGGAAGCACCTCGTGAAATCGCGAGCCCTTCTGGTCCATGAAGACGAAAGCAAACTTCTGGTCGCCGTCGAACTTGCCGAGGCGAGGTAGGATGTCCTTGCTGTGGCCGATCCTGAAGAACAGTAGCCGAGTAAAGCTCAGATTGCAAGATTGAAAGTTGCGCATGCTGTTCCTGTAGGATTATTGATGCGGGCTTCAACATAGGATCGGGGTTTCGCTGCCTATAAAGATGTTTGGGGCTTAGCATTATGGTTGGGGCGACTGTGGGATCAGACATCAGGAAGGCTTCCATATGCTTCCATGTTCGACCGTATTCAACTTTGCAGAATCACATACCTACGTTGGGCAGGTTGTCGTGAATGGCTCTTCCGTGTCTTATGGTTCTTACGCTTCTTGTAATCAATCTAGCTCTAGCATTGAAAAACGAAGTTGTCGTGGGGATAGATATGTTATATATATATATATATATAAATATAGTATGCATTCCCCTGCGATTCGTAGGCATAAGAATGCCTTCCACATGTATTACCATGAACACCGGGGCTACTACGTGTTCCCTTGTATTATGCTGCCAATACCACCATCAAGACCACTCCCACTTCCACTGCCACTGCTCTACCACTACAACTACCACCACGGCAAGCACTAGCACCAGCCCTAGCACTTGCACTACCACTACGACTGCTTCTGCTGCTGCCGCTGCAATGGAACATGGTACTGCTGCTACTCATCACGAATACTCCTTCTACTTACATGCGTAACAAGACCTAGCATCCGCACATCGACTCGATGGTCAAGCCCTGCCATCATCACCATGTTCCTGCCGCACGACCGCATGCATTCGCAAAGGCCAATGGCCTTAGTTGGCCTGCATGTGCTTTCAGATATTGCAATCCACCTACATTGCTTGTGGGCACTTCCAAGCGGGCAGGCACCGAGCCCCACCTGGCGATCACGGCATGGATGGGGTCCGTCTCCAGCGTGACCACACCCCGCCCCGACAAGGCCAAGCGGATGGCTGAGTAGCCACAGTAGGAGCCGATCTCGAGAACAGGCCCTGGCAGTCCCGGGGTTCAGCTGTCAACGATCATCAATCCGGAAGGCTCAAAAGTCGGCGGTGTGGAAAGTGCCACAAACCATGAACGTTGGGAAGCCGATGCTTAATTTCGATGCGCCTGCAGGAGCACGGGTTAAAGCTGAGACGAGAAGGTCGCCCTTCGCCTTGGCACTTGGAGACTGAGCTGTCTACCGCACCACATGACATGTCCTGTGAGCCTGGGCCAAAAGTCTTCTTAAGTTCATCTCACCCAGAATTAACAAAAAAAAGCCGTCGAGTCACGCCGGCTGCCAGCTTCAGCCACAGGCCTTGTTGTGACAAGCGGTGCCCGAAGTCCTCCATGGCCTTCGCTGTCCCAGCCAGAACTCAAAGGCTCTACGGCGCTACGCTATGGTCCCGAGCCTCGCAGACGGACTTCGCATCCATGGAAGCCGACGCAAAGACGTGACGGCACAAGCGTAGCTCCTTAGCCCGACCGGCGCGGAGACCTTCCGGTGGGGCCCGGGCGCGCGAGCTGGGTGTCTCCCCTTCTGCCCGGTTCTTGCCGGAGTGATTGCCTTTCGCCCTCAGCCACAAGGCCTCTGCCAAGGGATTCCACAGTCCTGCCCGGTCAAGTCGGCGAAGAAACTCTGTGCAGCGATCCGGGTCTCCGGAAAGGAGACACTTCTGTGCAGCCACATGCAGCACCAGCTGCGACACATCCTCCCGGGTGGCGGAAGCGCTCGTCTCCGTAACGGCACTAGCCGAAGCCGCCGAAGCCTCTAAGGCCTCGGGCAAGGCCAAAAGAAGGCTCCGCTCGCGCTCTGCCAGGCCGCGTAGTTCGCACTCCATTAGAAGCTGCGTGAAAGTGGCCAGCTGTGGTGTGATCCGACGCCCCATCATCTCTTCCAGCAGCGAGAAGGCTGCCGTCCATTGCATGGGCCGGGCAGAGACCGCCGCCAAAATGGTGGCCCCGTAAGAAGTGCTGTCCGGCTGAAGTCGCCGGTCCTGGAGCTCGCGGAGAAGCTGGAAGGCCTTCTGCCACTCAGAAGACTTCTCACAGGCGCTGACCGCCGTGTTGTAGGTGATTATGTCGGGCCTCAGCTCCTTCTTGGAGAAGAACAACAACTCCAGTGCCCACGGCCACTGGCGGCCTGCTTCTGCCGCTGAGATGCAAGCATTCACGACGACCTGTCAGCAACGGTTTGCGCATCAAGCGACTAGCTTCACAAGTGGGGGCTGCTACCCTCTTTCTAGCAGCCTGCTGTAAACAAAGCTCAGAGACCGTCCGGGGCTGAGGTGCAGGACAACTTGCAACCCTGATGAACCCGAAGCTCGGACAACTCTGACAAAGCCAAGCAGCCTGATTCGGCTGCAGGCTTTGCGAGGAGAAGCCTTGCAGAAGCTCCAAAGCCCGATGCCACTGCTGCCCCTGAGTCGGAAAAGAGAGAGAGAGAGCTGGCAAGTACAGCAACCGATACATGATATGAACCGAGCTGTTCTACTGCGTGCTGTATTCTGCGTACTTGGCGTATATGTAAATACGTGCATATGTGTATCTACTAGCTGGGTACATGTGCGTGTGCACGTGCGTGCGCGCATGCGCGCGTGCGTGCGTGTGCATGCATGCGGGCATGCGGGCGTGCCTGGATGGATGGATGGATGGCTGGATGAATGGATGGACGGACGGATGGATGGTGGGTGGGCGGATGGATGGACGGATTCGTGAATGTATGAATGACTGTTTGTGTGCATGCGTGTGTATGTATGTATGCATGTATGTATGCATGTATGTATGCATGTATGCATGCATGTATGTATGCATGTATGTATGCATGTATGTATGCATGTATACATGTATGTATGTATGCATGTATGCATGTATGTACGAATGTATGCACGAGGTATGTATGTGCATGCGTGCGGGTGTGTAAATGTGTGTGTGTATATATATATATATATATATGTATATATATATATATATATACATACGTATATATATATATATATATGTATACATATATATGTATATTTTATAGTATATATAGATATGGTTTAAGGATGAGAGGTGCGTCTTGTGAGTCATCGCCACACCCAGTTGTGTCCTTG